GGTTGTTATTGTTTGTTGTTGTTTCAATCATATATACCAATATTAGTTTCTAAAGACTCCTTTATAAACGTATATCCTCTTAAAATTACACATCCTCTTTGTAAATATCATGTAAGTCGTACTCATTTAGCACCAGTTAAGCAGAATATAAATAACTAATCATTTAACTTAGTCTAAATCCTATGGAGCTACCTCAGGTAGATTTTAAGGGATGCCTAATACCTTCCCCTTAGAAGAATAAGAACCCTTACCCATAATCTCACCGATTAGCAGAACAATAAAGAATATGACTTTAGTAATTAAATAGGTACCCTAGTATAACTTTAAATATTAGGCGGCGACTCTCTTTCATCAATAACGGAGAAACCATAAGTTGAATCTTGTTTTGACCAGTGCAAAATAGGGTGCAACAACGGGCATTGATATTTTCCGGTGCGTCAGCAGGAGGACTTGTGTTACTCCCATTGACAACTTCCCACAAATATTCACCAACAAGGTATGACTCCATACAAGTCTTCCATATCTTATAGTTGGACGGGTTCAATAACTCTATTCCCAGTCCATTAGCACAACCACCCAAATCCATTTAGAGAAACCAGTTGAACCAACCACTAACTCGACCTTTCAAATATATGTAGAAGCCAACTATGGCTCTGATACCATGTAAAGAATAGCAGTAGAAAAGTATTATTTGGAGACTTTCTGCTAGCCCAAGTTCGTTAACTAAAATAGGAAGATTCAACTAAGGAAGAGGAAGCTTTCAAAAGAGAAGAAAAGTTTTGTAGAGGAGAAGTTTGTTTAGGAAATAAGGCTTTTTTTATTTTTTTTCTTAGTTACAAATGTCTAAGGCCACCCCTATTTATACTCCTCTAAGGATGGTTCTAGATAATATTCTAGAACATGTACAAGAAAAGTCTAGTTAACCTTATCTTCCCACAATACTCTAGAATATCTAGATGTGTCTAATAGATAACCTTATCTTCTCATGATATTTTAGAACATCTAGATGTATTTAGTAGATAAATATCAAGGATACTACACTAGAATATTCTAGAGAAATCTATATTTTTCCAAAAAATCAACTTTACTTTATTTTTCTCACATTTTCACCCATCAAATATCAGCCTGATTTGTTTTGGCAGGTCAAATGACAGCACGAAATGCAACATTAAATGATACAAGCAGGGTAGAATATCTGCAAGCTTATATTGGGAATTTGCTTGATGCTATGAGGCAAGCCCCTATCTTCACATCACACATGTTATTTATGAGAGATTGTAGTCCTGTGGAATATTTGCATAAAATGGATTGAATTGTGTTATTTGATAGTTTAAATTAATAGAGATATAACATAGGAATATTAATTATTTATAACGGGCTTAACATTACCTAACTATACTAGTTGCTTTTAGGTAAAATGTGTACTCCCTCGTAGATCATGAATAACCTCTTCTTTAAACGCGTAGATCAAGCACTTGAGTAACTCGTCTTTTCACTTTAGTAATTGATAAGAAGTATCTATTCCGTCCAAGTCTTTTCTGAAAGACGTCTAACCACAAATTTGAGGAATTTTATCTTTAGGTATTTCTTTTGAGATTTACAAAGATATTCAAAGTTTTCTGCACATTGGCACTCTAGTTTCTTGAAGGGGAAAAGCTCTAAATATAGTTCAATTCTTGAGATTGAGGATAATGTACTTCATTCTTCCTGACAAGTATATTGTGGTTACATTGTATCTCACAACAGTGAATATCTCAGATGATTTTGTTTCCAATTCTTGCAAATAGTGATTCATCAGGTCTAAATTAGTCGTGTAACTTTGTTTGAGGATAGTCCTAATAGTGAAATTAATTGACATTTTGAGGCAGCATATGAGGAGTTTCTTAGTTCAAATCGAAAATATATTATCATGTAGTTCCTTCCTATGTGTTGCTTTGATCAATTACTCCAACTAATGACATGAAAGGGCATAAAAAATGCTTTTGGCTATAACCAAACTTTCCATTTACTTATTAAACAAAATATTCTACAATTAGCTACTCAACCGCTTCCCTAATTACAAAATTATCCATTAAATTGCAATTAATGAAAAGATTTTGACCTTTCATTGCAAAAATTCTCATAATATTTCAATATTGAAAATCTAAAGTTACTAATTAATGTATACTTTTACCATTAAACATTATTTGAAATTTGATAATAACCCAAACATATTTTTTAAAATGTTCCAAAAAGGCTAGAAAATACAAGTCACTCTAGTTTATCATATTTCAAGTGAGTCATGTTACATCTAAATAAATGAGTACTTTAGGTGAAATCTTACGGAGTCATAATTTATTATTGGGAAAAGGTTCAAATATGCCCCGAACTATTGAAAATGAAGCAATTATGTCCTCCATTTGTATTTGAGTACAAAATTGCCCTTGCCGTTAATAAAGTGGTCTACTTTTGTCCCTCCCCACTAACAGACTCCACATCAAGGACAATTTTGTACCCAAATACAAACGGAGGGGATAATTGCTCTTTTTTCAATAGTTCAAGGCATATTTGATCATTTTTCGTATAAAATAATACTTTTTATTTGATCAAAGCAACACATAGGAATGAAATACAAACGGATGGCATATTTGACGTTGTAGTTAATTCATAGTAACTTTAACAGTATTGCATTATTTATACTTGTAAAATATGCTAGATATTTTTATTTTATATGATTTTCTTTAATTCTTTTTTATTTTATTTTTTTGAATTTTTAATGTATCTTTTATATATTTTTGTGGTATAATGCTATATTATTAATTCATAAATTGAAATAAATTGAAGATCCATGGGGCTTACGGCCCATGTTTCGAGGCTTTCGCCTCGCTCAGTATTAAGTAAAACGCCCCGCCTTATGCCCTCGTATTTTAAACACTGGTTGATAGTTACAAAATTACATCCAACTCACATAACTTAGCAACAAAATTCATTTAAAAAAAACTTTCACATCTAGTGTCATTAGACATGCCGCATTTCACAATCATATCAGGAAAATTAACCACACTAATTCAAAACTAATTAATTTTATTACATTATTTATTTATCTTATCCTAATATTGCCAATTATCTTGAGCAATGCCAAGTAACTTATTATTAGGCTACCACTTGGCTTAATGTAGGTACTTAAAAGAAGAAATTGCATAGATAATTATTTGCACAAGAGAACGTGAATAACAATTAATTATGGATGTAGGTTTGAATCGTTGTTCCAAGCCCACATTTGGGAAGATATCAGTCGTGGAGTTGAATTTTCTGGCGATTTATTTTTTTCTTTCTTTTTCTTGTTTCTGTGAAAAAAATATTAAATATATAAATAAATTACAAACTCCACACACAAAAAAGTATGGGCGAAAATATTAATTTCTTTTTGCATGGAAGGTTTAATAAATAAATCAAAAAATGCCAAATGCCAAACAAACGTGGGGTGCGGGTATTAATTTTTCTTAAACGTGGGAGGAAGTATTTATTTTTTAAAATTGGCAGGTTTAAATTTTTTATTTTTATTTTCTATCTTAAAATAATTTTAAATTTTTTGTTGGAGTTTTATCCTAAAAATTTAAACTTGACATGTTATAATGATGAAACTTGGCATAGAATTCATCAAATAGTATCAAATCTTTGTCTATCGAAATTCTTCACTTGTCTAAATTTATCAATAAATTTTTAAGTGATATTAATTTAAATTATTTTTTTAATTAATTCAAATTATAAATATCCTAACATTATATTTATTTTATCTTTTAGTACATTTTTTTCTGCTGCTATATTTGATTAGTTTTCTTATTTAGTATTTTACTTATAAGTAAAATACCTTTTTTTAATTTAATTATAAATTTGAAATTCATTAAAATTTATCAAGTGGCTTTGTAGTATTTTGACACTTGGCTTAATCTTATGAATAACTATTGTCTATCCTAAAATTGTTAAATAACTTTTTATTATGTTGTCACTCGTCTTAATATAGTGTCTTTGACTCTCTTTCTATTATATAGAGATACTTTCTTTGTAATACGTTCTCCTAGTAAAAATTTGTACACAGATTTCCTATCACCGTTTGACCAACAATGATTTATTAAAGATAGAAAAAGCACCTAAAATTCTGTATACATCTTTGAAGCACTATTTTAACAATTAAAAATTTATTTATGTTTTAAGTATTTAAAACTAGGTATAAGCTGGAAGAGAGCAAATACATCGGATAACTGAGTCGGTACCGACGTGGCACATTAGCTTTAATCGTTTCTGATTCTTTGTTAATGGGGGTAGGCAGAGGATTATTTTGAAGAAAACTATGAGTGGTTTTATCAAGGCTCAACTCTTCCTAATGTAGATATTTCTGATGGTCTTTCAACTTTTCTCATTTTGGACTAGAAATTCAATCCAAATTCTGTCTTTTTTTTGTTTAACAATCTGGTATCCGAAATAAGTTGGCCTCACTATTTAAATTGTGTCGCGTAGGGCTCATTTGGGGACTCAGCCTTCTATCTTATACATTCCACCATATCCCTATTAAACTTAAATCTCAAGAACAAAAGAAAGAGAATAGACTTTCAATGAATGAGTTAGTTGATATTCTATGACATAGAATACGCAATTTCTAGTAAAACGTTATAAAGTGAGAAAATAAAGGGAAGTCCAAAAGTAAACAACTTTTAAACCATATGAATGAAGATTTGGCATTTTGTGTGCATGAGCATTTTTTGCTTTGGATACTTATTGCTGAATAGATTTTCTAATTGATTGATTTATTGCCGCAAAAATAAATTCGAACCATCAAGACCATCCCACCTATTTGAAGTTTTGAACCATGTCAAAATCAGTTCATTATATTTATATATATATATATATAATTTTTACCGTTCTAAAGTGTGTATTTTTCTGGCGAAGTGATTCTATGTAGCTCCGCCACTGACTCAAAAGTTGAGCACGATTTGTACGTAGTGATTGCAAAAAGTTAAAACGGACGGAGACTTGGCTTAGTTTTGTCATCTAATTCTTTTTCCAAATGCCTTTTTGTTCTCTGTAAACTATTCATTGGTAGTTTGATCTTTACATTTTCCTCCAGAGAGAAGCCGCCAGTTGTATAGGACAAAATTGAGAGAGCATAAAATAGAAGTTTTACGGAAGCTACGAGAGTACTTATAATTGGCGATCGAGCCGGCAGCACCAGAGGCAGAGAAGAAGGATGTCGCCGGCAAAGCAATTCCGATGTATATTCACGGTGATGATGCTTGTTTCGCCGGTTCTAGTTTTCGGCGGCGATGATTTCAGCAGAACGGACTTCCCTGATACTTTCGTTTTTGGTTCCGGTTCTTCTGCTTATCAGGTCAGTAATTTCTGCTGATCACTAGCATACATATATACATACATGCATGTGTGTGCACACACTCAGATACACAAAAACACACACGACGCGTCGCGCGGTCACACACACATTATATATGTATATGCAATATGTATGTGTATATGTATGTATATAATGCTGGTTAGCAAATACAGTAAACAGTAGATACTTGACTAGTGGTTTTTTTGGCGATAGGTGGAAGGGGCAGCATTTGAAGATGGACGGACTCCTACCATTTGGGACACCTTTGCTCATGCGGGTTTGTTCTCTTTAATCCTTGTGGTTACCTTGCTAATCTCTGAACTTAAAACATATGTTCCTTTTGACTTGCGGACATGTAAGATTAATAACATTGCACGGTTTGCATCTGTGAAGATTCCCAATGATCCGTAGAGGACAATCCAATTACTAGTATACGAGTTTCAATTGTCAATCAAACTACTGTAGTTCAGTTAGGCCTTCTCCAATCTCGATCTTTCCTCTTTCACCTCACAAATTATCTCTTTTCCTTCTTCCTTCGCAATAGTATTATTTTAAAGGATCATTATGGTTTGGATGGGCCAGTAAATTTGCCCTGTTCCTACAGCAGCAGCAACTGACACTAAATTGTAAAAGTCCCCTAAATTTTCAGGTGAATATGGAGGAGCCACAGCAGATGTATCTTGTGACGCGTACCATAAATACAAGGTCTGGCAGACGAAACAGGATAAGTATATCTCTGAGTTCACATAATTGATGATTAATTTGATTGCCCTTAACGTTGTGTATTGCAGGAGGATGTAAAACTCATGGCTGACACGGGTTTGGAAGGCTATCGATTTTCCATTTCGTGGTCGAGACTTATTCCCAGTAGGCTCCATTATTCAACTACTCCCTTAATACATATCATGCTGTTATAAGCTTTATCTTCCTTCTCATACTTGATTTTTGTCTTCTGTGTAGATGGAAGAGGTCCTGTTAATCCTAAGGGATTGCAGTATTACAACAATCTCATTGATGAACTTCTCAGTCATGGTTATATTTACATTTCCCTGAGCACTAGCTAGTTCTTATGTTTTTCAGTTAAAAGTTTGAATGTCGCTCTTGTTAGTAAGAGTATATAAATGATCAATAACTTACCTGATTGACTCCATTGTGTTTTCATTTTCCTAAATTTGTAGGAATTGAACCACATATTACTCTATGTCATAGTGATCTTCCACAAGCACTTGAAGATGAATATGGAGGATGGATGAGTAGAAAGATAATGTGTGATCGATGCAGAGTACTTTTAATCTAGTTCAAATTTTGGCTACATATTCTTTACACCTAACTGAATGCATAAGAGTTTCTCGTGTTTTTCTTGTAGTGATGACTTCACTGCCTACGCAGATGTGTGCTTCAAGGAATTTGGTGATAGGGTTTTGCATTGGACTACCTTGAACGAGGCCAATGTATTCGCTTTAGGTGGTTATGATAATGGATTCAGCCCTCCAAATCATTGTTCCCCACCTTTTGGATTTAGACCTTGCTCGATAGGTAACTCTTCAACCGAGCCATACATAGCAGCTCATAATTTACTACTCGCTCATTCAGCTGTAGTGAGACTTTACAGGAGGAAGTACAAGGTATCATCTTTAAACATCATATCAAGTGATTACTAGTGTTCTGAAGTCTTAAATGTTTACTAATAGTTTGTTATGTTCCAATGCAGACAACTCAACATGGTTTTGTAGGACTAAATCTCTTTGCATTTTGGTCCCTTCCTTATACAAATAAAACGACCGATATAATTGCAGCACAACGAGCTAATGATTTTTACCTGGGCTGGTAAGCGCTTATTAGCATCAAGACAATCTCAAACATCATTTGTACAATGATTCAGGAAGTAATGCAAGGCTGAGCTTATTTGGTTCACTAAAATTTCAATCCTCATTGCAGGTTTGCCAATCCCTTGATATTTGGAGACTATCCTGACGTAATGAAGAGGAATGCTGGCTCTAGATTGCCCAAATTCACAAGACAAGAATCTGCGCACGTTAAAGGCGCTATAGACTTCATAGCCCTGAACCATTATATGACAGTACATGTCACAGATAGCTCTAGCAGCTTGGAAACTGATATCAGAGACTTCAGTGCTGATGCAGCTTTTCAATTTATATGTAAGATCAATGACTAATGCATCATAAAATAAAGATAATTATCATGTATTGGCATTTGAAGACAATATTCAGCTTAAATTTGGTCGAGTAGCCAAATAAAGATAGATTTGTCTGATGTCAAGATTCAATGCTTCTATCTCTTTATTTATGCAGTGACAGATGGTGCTACTACACAACCAGGCATGGTGAGGATTGCGACATGCATCAATTCCACTGTGCACTTTGCCTTGTTTATGTTTATGTGTTTTTCCATTCTGACATTTTTCTTCTGAATCAGTATCCAGTGACGGAACCTGGTCTACAAGGAGTACTAGAATATTTCAAGCAAGCTTATGGCAATCCGCCTATGTATATTCATGAAAATGGTCCCTCTCTCTCTCTCTCTCATTCTCACACACACACACACAAAATTTTATACCTTTTGCTTTAAATTTCTGAGCCCAAGAAAGTTGTTTTATAGGCTTCAGCGTCCCAATCGAATATATATATCTTTCTTTGAATCCCTAAAATCAAGAAGCTCTAAAAAGCCGAGGGGTGTCAATTCGAGCCCAAACTCATCCAACCCCTGTTTTTTCATTTTTCTGAACCACCCCCCCACCCGCAAAATGTTTTTCAACTTACACATTTTAAATACTAATTTGTTATTTAAGAAAATATATTTTGATTCTCAAAATACTAATAGTATTTATTTACCTTTTATACACCTATGTATAAAAGGTAAAAGGCTTTGTTTATGCAAAATGAGCATGGTTCTAAAATATGGGTCAAGTTGGGTGGGTTGGGCTATGACCCATTGTTTAGCCCATCTTAACCCAAGTAAATTTTGGGTTGGGTTGGGCAATGACTCATTTATTGACCTAACCCATCTTGATCCGTCCAAATTCACCCGAACCCGCCCATTTGACAACCCTATTTAAAGCCTGGTGTTTTTTTTGTCTTGGTAGGTCAAATGACACCACGAACTGCGATACTGAATGACACAACCAGGGTAGACTATCTACAAGCTTATATTGGGAATTTGCTTGATGCTGTGAGGTAAGCCCCCTATTCTCACATAACACATTAGTTACTGATGAGAGACTATAGGCCTGTAGAATATTTACATGAAATAGATGAACCGTCTTTGCTTAAACGCGTAGATCAAGCACTTAAGTAACTCATCTTTGCACTCAGTTGTAATTGATAAGAAATATCTTTCCGTGCATCCTCTGCATGTCCTTGTAAAACCACAAAATTTGGAGAAATTTTATGTTTAGGCATTTCACCGTATGACATCCGTGTCCATCTCTTTGTTATTCTAGGAATGGATCAAACGTGAAAGGCTACTTCACATGGTCATTTTTAGACTGTTTTGAGTTACTGGACGCATATGGTTCGGCATTTGGCCTATATTATGTGGATTTAGATGACAAAAACTTGCAAAGATATCCAAAGTTTTCTGCACATTGGTACTCTAATTTCTTGAAGGGGAAAGGCTCCAAACATAGTGCACTTCTTGAGATTGAGGATAAAGTGCTTCATTCTTCCCAGTCTCGTTCTTCTTCATAAGTATTGAGTTGTATTGTGTTCTCAATCCAGTTATGGAGTTCACATTTATCTGTTGTAATTTTTGCAAATAAAGATCCATAGTCTAGACGATTGATCGTGTACCCTTGTATAAGGACGAACTTAATTTAATACATATTACACAGCATACAAAATTTAAAAAATTTGTTTATTTGCCATAATATAGTTAGTTTGTAATTCTCATTCTCGGCGTCATGTTTAACTACGCAAATAGTATCACACTGATATTTTAAGATTTGAAGCAAGCGGAGTCAAACGTGCAGTTTTAACTATAGAATTGAGGCTTTCAAAATGATGTACAAAAACACTCAAAAGTAAATTAATGATTTTCTGTCCAAGAGTTTTTAGGCCCTTCTTGTAAAAGCTCTGATACCATTAACATAACTTTCTTTTTTTGGCTTTCGAAGATTGCAATAACTTGCTTCCTCCGCCTCAAATTATTTATCGTGATTTCTAAAAATAGTTGTCAAATTATTTGTCATAAAAGTTCAAGATAAAATTGATTATTATTTTTTTTTATTTTACCCTTAATAGTAATTGTTCTTGAAAACTACAAACACCTCAATTATGAAAAATTCTTTTGGGCCACACCACTTTTGGCCACAATGACCCAATGGGGTTATGAAAGTAAAATCACACCCAAATTAGGGTTTCTGGACAAACTTTATACTGAAAATACCCTTACCGCTAGGTTTGAATTTCTCTTCATGATTCTCTCTCACCCATTTAATGTTTGTCTTCCTAATACATGGAAAATATCAAGCGTGCAAACCCTCTTTCCCATAAACTTTTTTTGTTTTATCTTTTTACGTATTTTTTCATCCTTTTTTATAGTATACACGTATATATTTCGAATTTATTCATCTATATAAATATATTTTTAGAGAAAATACTTCTTTTTAGAAAAGAGAGTTATAATACTTCTTAATTTTTAGTGTAAATAAAATATATTTTTATCTTTGATATAATAATAAAAAGATAGTTATTAAAAATTAAGATGAATAATAAGATATTGTTAGCTTAGATATTTCATTGCTAAATGTTAGCGCCACTATATTAGCGATGAATTTCACTTTTTTTTTTGTAAAAAAATCCATATTTAAATTAATATATTTTCTTTTTATTTAGTGATGAAATCATAAATCTAACAGTATTTCATAGATAATTAGTTAGGACACGTCGTCAACCACTAAAATTAGTTTTTCTTACACTAAAGCTGTCATAAAATTCTTTAATATATGAGTACTTATTTAAAATAAGTGTTTAGATATATGAAATTATTTTAAGTACTTATTCCAAAAAATTCAGGACCACATATACATAAATAAATGGATAAATAAATATATAAAGTCTTCACCATATGAGTACTTAAATTAAGAGTTTAGATATAAAAAAAGGTACTCCAAATACTTATTTAATAAAATAAGAGTTTAGATATAAAAAAAGGTACTCCAAATACTTATTTAATAAAATAAGAGTTTAGATATAAGAAATTACTATAAAGACTTATTTAAGAATAATAAAGGACCAAACTTACATACAACACACACAAACACATATATATTGATAAGTCAAGGAGTCAGTTGATAAGCTTTGAGGCCTTAAGTCTACTGATCTATTGCTTAGGATTAATTTTTATATTTTAAATTTTGTTATTTGAGAATTAGTGAATTCTTTGATTAAATACAATTACTAAATAGTTTATATTTTAGAAAAATCTAACTTTTATATTAAAAATTCATTATTCCTAAAATATCTCTATTTTCTTTTTGGACTAGCTCTTGTAATGACTTTGGTAATCAAAGAATAATATTTATTTAACTATTTATTGTAGTTAAATAATACTATTTGATATGGTAAATGCATGACAAAAAGTTATAACTAGCTAGCAGAGTTTATTGTCTCTTCGAATTTTGTGGCTATATTATCTTATAATAACAAATAATTATAATTTTTAAGCAAACTATTGCCATGATTATTTATGACATGAATAAAAAAGAATTTTTTGCATTCAATGTTTCTTGCAAATTATGTTAATTACATCATTGCGATTCATAGTTATATTAACCGTTTATATAATAGCCAATATATAATTTCATTCATTAAGGTTATACGTATCGGTCACTAGTTATTCATAGCAACTATATAACTCCGTTGACTAAGGTTGTAGTCATATAACCTATGTTAATTACATCGTTATGATTCATAGTTATATTAGTCGTTTATATAATAGACAATATATAATTTTATTCATTAAGGTCATACATATCGGCCACTAGTTATTCATAGCAACCATATAAGTTTATTAACTTTTGTCATAGTCGTATAACCTATGTTAATTACATCGTTGCGTTGAATTGACCGTTTATATAATTTTATTCATTACGGTCATATGTATCGGCCACTAGTTATTCATAGCAACTATATAAGTCCATTAACTGAGGTTGTAGTCATATAGCCTATGTTAATTACATCATTGCGATTCATAGTTATATTGGTCGTTTATATAATAGCCAATATATAATTTCATTCACTAAGGTCATACGTATCGGCCACTAGTTATTCATAGCAACCATATAAGTCCATTGACTAATGTCTTAATCATATAACTTATGTTAATTACATCGTCGCGATTCATTGTTATATTGAATTGACCGTTTATATAATAGCCAATATATAATTTCATTCATTAAGGCCATACGTATCGGCCACTAGTTATTCATAGCAACCATATAAGTCCATTGACTAAGAAAAATTAGACAAATCTAATAAGAATTAAGAAAATAAGTTTTGATCAAATTTCATTTATGGTGAAAACTAATTATGATTGACTCCTATTTTTATAGTAATTAGATTTTGCAAGCTTTCAAAAATTAAGATTCTTATTTTAATAGCTATTCACTAACCATGTGATCCGTTTTCTTCCATTCCATTTTTTAAAAATAATTTAAAAAAAATATTATATAGAGAAAAATAATAATTGTAGGAACGTTGTTACAATATTATATATAATGTGTTTAAAAAATAAGAAAATAGTTTTTTATGATTAATATCTTAATTGAGAGCGATTACTTTAAGTCTGAACGCATAAGATGATTTTTTAAAAATGGGGTCCAATTTAAAACATAAAACGATATGACTTATTTGAATTTGAGATGAGATTTTTTTTAAAAATAAAAATATAATAAGAAAAATCATATTTTGGATATGAGCAATAGAATCAAAGTTTCTTTTAAAATAATTTTTAGTTTTTATTTGTATTATATTAAAATGAGTGTGGTGCAATAAATATTATTTTAAACAAACTAATATTTCTTGTACTACCAAGTTTCTTGGTTTGAATTCATGTTTAGTTTAAGGATAAAAAAATGAAAGGTTTGTTTTGCTGATGTGTAGATCGTATATTTTATTAAATCAAGTATATAATTAATTTTTATTAAATATACAGTATAATTTGCTATACACATAAAATACACAAAGTATATAGAGACTTTTTATTTTCATATGTATGGAAACATGTATCAATTTTAGTTGCTCAATGTATTTTGGGAATAGAGATAAGTTACTGTATTTATTAGTGTGTTTTGGAGGGAAAAAATATTTGGGGGAAAGATTGCAAAACTGAATAAGGTTATGATAGTCTTTTTACGAGTGTGGTCACATTTGAGCCAAATTAATGTGGCCGTTTAGTAGCTCTCCTCGATTATATGTAACATGTTCAAATACCAATAAATCAACCTTGTTTTCTTAAATACTTTATCATGTTTTACACCCATGCAATCAATAAACGACAGAGTACTAATTGCTTCAAATCCTAATTCCTAACAACTTCTACCATTGTACTATAAAGTCTATTCTTAAATCAAAATTATGCTACTATGATAATGAAAACATATTTAAAGAAAATGGAGAAGGAAGTAAAAAGTCATTTGATTGTTGAACATTCAAACACATTCTTCAAGTTTGTTAATTTAGTTTACCCTAGGTGTCTTTTTAGATATCCTATAGAGTAAACCATTCGCACTCACATTTAATAGAAATTTAGATAATGTCATCGATGGAGACACAACAACAACAATAATAAACTCAGTTACAAGTAAGGTTTGAGAAGGTTAATGTGTACGAGACCTTACCCCTATCTTGTGAAGGTAGAGAATCTGTTTTCAGATAGACCTCCGGCTCAAGGAACAATGACAAGGAAGCAACCAACAATAACAATAACAAGCTAAAAAATAAAGACATAATGTGTAATAACAAAGATGTAGAGATAAGAAATACAAGAATACTACTGGTAAGAATGACACACGTGTAATAAAAAAGATCAAGGAGCAAAAATGTATATAAATATTACTAATACTACCAGTAAGACTAGGAGAAACCCTCTGCCACCTATCAACATTCGACCATAATTCTCGACCTCCACACCTTCCTATCGAGGGTCATATCCTCGGTAAGCTGAAGCAACGCCATATCCTGCCTAATCACCTCTCCCAAGTACTTCTTAGGCCTACCTCTACCCTTCCTCAGACTCGCCATGGTCAACCTCTCACACCTCTTAACCGGAGCATTTATGTCTCTCCTCTCCTCATCACGTGCCCGAACTATCTCAACCTCGATTTTCGTAGTTTGTCTTCCACATGGACCACTCCCACCTTGTCCCTAATAACTTCATTCTTAATCGTATCTTTCCCGTTATGTACACACTTTCATCTCAACATTCTCATTTCTATTACTTTCATCTTCTCGACATGAGATTTCTTGACTGGCCAGCACTCAATACTATATAATATTGATGGAGATGACACATAAATTGAAAAAATATTTAATGAAAATAAAGTATATATTAAGACATGAATGAGAGTAAAATAGTCAAAATTCTCTCTGAACTAATTTTTTTAAAAATGGTGTGTACAAGAGAATCATGAAAGATAATTTGAGACGGGTGTAGTATTAAATAAAGCAATGATTAAAAATCACATCCCTTGATTTTCGTGCACTTATCTCTCTTTTCCTTTTTCTTCTTTTACTTTTTTTTTTTTTGGGTTGCAAAAACCTCATCTCCATTAAAGATCTAGAGTCCAATTTGTCTAATCCGAATCGAGTCTACTCGTGAAGAATTTGAATTTCGTTGTCAAGCTGAAGCAAACTCATTTCTAGAACCTCATACTCCACGGAAAAATTCTTTTTGAAAATTAAATTTTCAAAAGTAAGTCACTTTTGATGTTCAATTACCAGAAAGTATATTTAAAAATAGTATATATTTTTCACCCAAAAATCGTCTCTTTTGCTTACCTCATATCAATTCTTAACTTCATATTAGTGTTCTAAATTTTCTTTACCTCATATCAATTCTTAACTTCATATCAATGTTCTAACATTACATTATAATCAATCTTTAATACTAAAAAGTGTCTAAAACACTATCCAATTTGCTAACTCTATGTCAACCTTCTATAATTTTTTAATAAACTTTTTCCATTTTCAACCAGCATTTAAAATACTTTTAAAAACAATAAGTCGATCTTTTCCTCTCATACCGTTTGAATCCAAGATTCATGGAAAATGAGGGTCGGCAGTTCCCTAAAAATCGAATTTAATGCACAGGCAGTAAAACAAGGATTTGCATATAGTGACATTTATTGGGACTTATCCCAATTACTTCTTATTTAACCCCTAGTCAATTATTTTAGTTATTTTCACACATATTAAAGAATTTATTTTTTAACATTAATTAATAATAAAATTGATCATATTAATTTTTACTATCTTTTAAATTTGTTCATTAAGAATATAATAAATACCCAAAACTCTTTTTTCTAAGGACAACTTTGGAAAAAAATTAATGCCTTCTGGATATCTAAAAAATTAAATATTATAGACCACAAAAAAGATAAAAAAAATCAATTAAATTCGGCGATACCAAATACAAAAAAATGCATTTTTTTCTGGGATGGGTGGATTGTAGAATTAGGAAGTAGTGACGTCAAAGCTGAGACTTTTGAAAGGAAAAACAGCGGACGAGAAAAGTTTTGTCAAAATTTGCTTGTGCGATGTCTAACACTTCAAAATTGTTAGGGGAGGGGAATTAAAAAAAAAAAAAAAAAATCTCTTGCTGGAAAATGTCCCAATCATACACTTCTACATCAACGTTTTGTCCCTCTCTTTGCAAACTATGGAAAATGTCCCTATCATACACTTCCATTGTTGTCTTATTGTTGTCTTTCATAGTTTACTGGAACTTAACAAATATATGGGTCAAGAAATACAATAAGTTTTGAGGGTATATGTGGGTAAGAGGAGTTAATAATAGCCATCCATTAAGGATGATGCTTCAAAATCTGCAATCCAACTACTGTTTTCTGCTGCTGCTTGTTTCAATCCAATGTTTATTGGTGATAGTCTTTGGTACAGATCACTATAGCAGAGCTGACTTTCCCCCTGGTTTTGTTTTTGGTGCTGGAATTTCTGCCTATCAAGTCAGTTAAAAGATTTCTTCCTTCTTTTTTTTCAATAATCAGTTTGTAATTGATGAATAGTAATTGTTTACTCTTTGATTGGTTATATTTGAGAAAAGGTTGAAGGGGAAGCATTTGAAGATGGAAGGACACCTAGCATTTGGGACACTTTTGCTCATGCTGGTCTGTATGCGCTTCGCATCCTTGACCTCTTTATAGTCCCATTAATCTTGAAATTCAGTAATAGTTTGTCTTACAGCCCAAATCATGGTTCGTATTGTCTGTTTTGGCCTGACCGGTTCTTGGATTTGTCACTTGAGCTATGTCATATCGAGCCCAAAAGCATAAGATACTATGTGAACTTGTACTGTCTTATATAGCACTTCATTTTCTTCTTCGCTAGCGTTTGGATATAGATTTGGTTGAAACTTGAAAAACAAAAATTTGAAGTTGTGTTGAAAAATAATTTGTGGAAGTTGAAATTGTGTTTGTACATGCATTTTATTAGAAAAAAACTTGAAGTTTTGTGAGTGAAAGAAAAAACTTCACCCAAAAGTTGCCCTAAACCAGTTTTTGGGAACTTAGAATTTTTTTTTTTTCAAAAACTGATAATATTCTATGAACAAACAGTGTTTTAAAAAAAAATTCAAAAAAAGTAATCAAAATCTATGGCCAAACGGGAGCTTCATTTCCGATGTGGGATTTGCATTAAGTGTCATATACACCCTTTCTTCATAAGCTTGACACCCTAGAAGCATGTCAGTCATTATCCTAAATCCGCTTTCATCAGCCCCCTTCCATCGTGACTCGTGAGCGTTACATAGTTGTTATGCCGGAGACTTTGTTACATCCTTTTACAATTGCCTGACTGAAATGTCATTTTTTCCATCTACGGTAGTGGAGCAACCAGAAACACAAGTTAAAGGAAATTGAGATTTTAAGGCCATTTTACTCTTCAATAATTTAAAGCATAATCATAATATATGGCTTTGTGAGAAATTTCATCTTTTAACCTCAATAAGTCTTGTCTATTCCATGTATGAGAAGTTGAATGTGTGATAAAGCCAACACATCCTCTTTTTATTTTCTTTCCTAATTTAAGAATATCCCTCATTTATTATAATTCAGTTGCTTCTTGCCAAACTGAAGTTGTTCGGTGATGCACAATCAATCACTGATTATGGTGCAGAAAACTGGCATACTACTACGGAAAGTTGTACATTTATATGTCTGTTTTTGGACAATCATTTATATGTGGAGCACTTCTTTCTTTTAAATTTAGAGTCTATTTATTAGGAAACAAATGCTGTGAGTTAGATTAATGCAGATTGGCATATGATATTTCAAGTTATTGCTTCCAGGTTTTTCTGGTGGAGCCAATGGAGACATAGCATGTGATCTGTACCACAAATACAAGGTGTGTACAATCACTCTGTTTCAATCTGATTCTTTTGAAATCTCCCCCCTCCCCCCGACTGCTATGAAGTAACACGGTATAACAAATTTCAGTGCCATCAGCAGTTAAAGGAGAGAGTAGTTTGCATGTAAGTTTAATTGACATCAAAGCTAAAATGGACAAGTACAACAAGCAATTATAGATGAAGAATCAGTAGCACACTGATTTCCTTGAAAAGCAACTGAGAGAACTGTTCAGTTTCATTCTTAGGATTTAGAATCAATTGAACTTCTTACAAGTTCCTATCTTCCATTCTCTTAACAACATGCCAAAAAAAGCATTTAACTAAGCCTCTGCCTCTTTAAGCCTTACTCTTGAATCTTATTTGCTTAAGCTTCTTAAAATTGATCTTACATAGTTAAGTCCTTCGCACAATAGCATAATCTTAGGTTCGGGGTAGTGTCTTTGTTATTTTTAGTTTATGTGACCAGGAGGTCACGTGTTCGAGCCGTGGAAACAGCCTCTTGCAGAAATGCAGGGTAAGGCTGCGTACGATAGACCCTTGTGGTCCGGCCCTTCCCTGAACCTCGCGCTAGCGGGAGCTTAGTGCACCGGGCTGCCCATTTTGGTCTTCAAGAAATGGTTTGTTCTTTACGTCTTGTAAAAAGTTGGTAGCACTTAAGTTCAATCAGTTTTTTCCTAAAGAAAGGGATTTTGAGTTCATCAAATTTCCGTGGCAGGAAGATGTCCTATTTATGGTCGACACAGGCTTAGAAGCCTACAGGTTCTCTATTTCATGGTCTAGACTTATTCCTGGTAGGTTTAGCCCCTTGATACTACTTGAAAACACCTCACGTTATTCTCTTATTTCCATCCCCTTTGATGCCGTGTTTGTTCTCTTTCCAGGTGGAAGAGGACCTATAAATCCAAAGGGTTTACAGTTTTACAACAATTACATTGATGAACTTATCAGCCACGGTCATACCAAATTTCTTGGCAATTTCAGTACTTTTTGTCGATTACACATATAGAGAAAAAAGAAAAGCAAAAAACTGCACTTCGAGATTCCTCTGAAGAGTGTATTAAAAGTGTTTCATATCTTTTAATATTGCAGGTATTCAACCACATGTTACACTATTTCACAGTGATCTACCGCAGGTACTTGAAGATGAATACGGGGGATGGTTAAGCCGAAAGATTGTGTATGTCTATAGCTTATTTTTAACCTGTTTACTCATATATCAGTTTTAGTATCAGTCCATCAGATACGATTAACTTCAACAGTAGAATTTGATATCGACTTTAGGAAGGACTTCACTGCATATGCAGAGGTATGCTTCAAGGAATTTGGTGACCGGGTGATGTATTGGACCACCATTAACGAGGCCAATATATTTGCGATCGGAGGTTATGATATTGGCATCACTCCTCCGGGACGCTGTTCTCCACCTTTTGGAGTTAATTGCTCTAGAGGGAATTCGTCTACTGAGCCTTATATTGTTGTTCATAACATGTTACTTGCACATTCATCTGCAATGAAATTGTACAGGAGAAATTACAAGGTAAGATTCAAAGATTTCAATATAGAAGCAATCTGGTCACTTAAATAACTTTCATCCGTATAATTATTGAAGTTTCAATGATTTAATGTTTTGGTTTTTTATTGTTCTGAGGCTATAGTATGAACATTCCCTATTTTTCTTATAGTTTGATCAATTTTCACCAATTTAGAGGGGAATTTTATCACCTCATGTTCCTTCTATTTGGAGGATGTTGGTTATGCTATAAAGGGTGATTGGGTAATAAGTTTGATAAATAATAATTTATCTAACATTTGTATGTATTTATTTAAATTTAGCAAATAAGAAAATATTCATTTCGTTCCCGTTAGTACTATGTGCGACACACATGTGCAAACTAGTTTAGATAGCAAGTTAGTTTGTAATCTTGGATGTTTGGCATTGTATGGCTTAAGTGCTTTGAGGAAAACTTCTTTCCTTCTTCTCTACTCCTGTTTCTTTGATGAAAGTACTGGTCTTTGTGGTCATGTAAGTATATCCTTTCTCATTTCCAGTCCCTTCTACTACTTGTGAGTGAACAAATTTACTTTAAGACGTGCTTACTAATGACAGCAAAATTTTGCAATGCAGTCCACCCAACATGGTCTCGTGGGATTTAATATATATGGTTTATGGTGTGTACCTTACACAAATTCAAGGGCTGATGTAAATGCAGCAGAAAGAGCCAATGAATTTTATACTGGTTGGTGAGTTTTTGAATTTCATTGACTGATTAGAAGTATATCTTTCTGACAGGTAAACTCTTGCCTAGCAGGCATATCAATATTACACTTTTTTAAAGGACATAATTAAGTATATAAACACATGCCCCCAAGGCTTTCATCTAGTGGTAAGAGCTCAGCGGGTGATGTGTGGGTTAGGGGTACATCACGTATGTGAACCAACCAACTGACAAAAGCTTGATATTTAGGTGGAGAAGGGTAGAGGGACGTGCCCATTACCGAGTTTCAAACCATGCGTCAGTTATAAAAAAAAGTATATGAAAATGTGCTATCTAATAATTTAAACTTTTAGATAAGATGATTACGCAATTCAATATGGTACAAAGCAGACAGAAGTATTGAGCTCAAGTTCGTCCTCTCCTATTATAAATAAATAAAAATTCACAAAAAGAATCAGACCCTAACGTAAGGAGCATGTTGATGACCTAAGTATATAAAAATGTGCTCTCTCTAACAACTTATGCTTTTAGATGAGATGGGCTTACAACTCAATCTTTTTATCCTGTATTTGCAAGTAATATGTTTGTTTACCATATTCTCCTGTTCCAACTTTGGCTGCAGGATAATGAATCCTTTAATATTTGGAGACTATCCCTCTGTAATGAAGAAGGCTGCTGGGACAAGGATTCCAAGCTTCACCAAATATGAAGCTAAGCTAGTTATGGGCTCAGTTGATTTCATTGGCCTAAACCACTACACAACAGCATCTGTTAAGGACAGGTCTTCCAGCATTGAAAAGCATAGCAGGGACTTTAGTGCTGACATAGAAGCAGATATCTCACGTATGAAATCCTGTGCTAACTAAGATTGTATTTGGTATGACGTAGTGGTGGCAAAATGGATAAAAAAATCAGTTATCAACCCATATTATCCACTAAAAAATGGGTTGGATATGAACTTTTTAAAAACGGGTCAAATATGGATAAGAACCATATTATCTGCTTAGAAAATGGATAACTAATGAGTTTGGCTTTTACATTTGTAAAGACTCAAATTTTGGGTTCTTCAAGTTTGGGAGAATAAGAATTCTTTCCAAAGTGATCATATTCAACAAGCCATGGATAATATGGATATCCATATTATCCGTCAGTTAACCCGTTTTCTATCCGTATTAAATATGGTTCGGGTCGGATATTTTATCCGTTTTTGCATTACCCATTTTCGACCCGCCCATATCCGATCCGACCTGCCAGTTTGCCACCCCTAGTGGAAGCCACTGTTTCAGAAAGTATTTTTTGGAAAATGATTTATTTTTGGAAAAAGTTTTTCGGTGTTTGGTTGGTTGGAGAACAGAAGTATTTTTCTGGAAAAAAAGAACATTTATTAAAGATTGATAAAATTAATAGCAAATTTGAGTACTGTTTTTGATGAAACTTTTGAGTATTAAAGTTGGTAATAATGTTTAAATGTTGGTCAAAGCAGTAATATTAAGTTAGGAGTTAAGATAGTTGTGAAGGAGAACGACTTCCGCCCGAAGGTGAGGAAAGTCATTTCATTTTTCCCCCAGAAAATGTTTTCTCCAAAAAATATTTTTCTCAACCAAACACTAGAAAATAAGAATATTTTCCGTCATGCCAAACACACCCTAAATAAAGATCACTCTCTCATATTTTAACCGTTTGCTAACTCAGTTTCATCTGGATGTTTATCCGACTTCATTCAAATTATCTCTTGCATAGTTTATTATTTTATCTGCTTATGATGGATTAGGTGATATCAGTGAGCTCTCTAATTTTACCTTTTATGGGTTTCTGCAGTCGGGGCATTGGCAGCAGATCAGGTGAGGCCTCTAACATAAGTTCTTATGTGATGTTTTCAAGATTTACACATTCTGTCACTTAAACATTGTTTGACTTTAGTATCCAGTTATACCTTCTGGTCTTTATGAATTTCTGGAGTACTTAAAAGAAGCTTATGGCAACCCGCCGATTTACATTCAGGAAAATGGTGCGTCCTCTCCAATCACGTCCTCTCTTTTGATTTTATGCTTTTGCATGCAATTTGTGGGTTCTTACACCTGTGTGCTCTAGCAATGTTTTGCCTTATTCAGTAAATATATATAGAGGCTGATGCCTACTCAGTGGCGGAGCCACATTGAAGCAAGGGGTAAGTCCTTCGCCGGAAAATTACACTATTTTTCTAGATAATTTTTTATTTTATTTTATGTATATTTGCTATGCTTTGACTCCCCTTGACTTTTCGATATATTTAATTATTTATATTTTGACATCCCTTGATGAAAATTTTGGATCCGCCACTGTGCCTACTATAAGCCAAATTTGTCCCTACAACCTGGAAACTTCAACCACTACGGACAATCTACTCAAAGTAAAGCATGTATAACCTGGTTTCACTTCTAGCCTGTTTGGCCAGCATAGGAAAACTACTACTAGTGCTTATTTTGGAGAGTCAGGGTATTTGGACAAGCTTTTGTGAAAGATAAGTGTTTTTAAGTAGTAGAAGAGGCTATTTTCTGCTGTGTGGAAGAAGCTAAGAGCGTGTTTGGAAAGCCATCTACGAATTGGATTTGGGTAATTGGGTGTAATTACACAGTTTGGCATGTTTGTCTTACTTGGTAAGCATGGAATTGCGTGTAATTTGAGAGGCGTAATTACACTCTCCAATTCTCAAGGGGAGGTGAGAATTGGTGGTAATTACAAGGTTACTTTTTAATTTCTTTCCTTTTTGTTTTTATTTTAATTTATTTTCTTTATAACTTTTTATTTCCATTATTTTAATTTTTTGTTTAGTTTTACTTTTAAATTTCTTTTTTAATTTTAATATATTTGTCTTACTTCTTGTGATTCCATATAATTGCTCGTATATTTTATTTCTTATTTATTTTATTTTCTTCATTTAGCGTAACTGCATTATTATTCTAGTTTTTGAAACTACATCTCCTAATATTAGAAATAATGAGTCATTAACAAACGTGCCATATAATGAGTGATGTCATTAAAGTAAAATTTCGTTGTTGAATGAGGTTATAAACTTATTATGTTTCCTAATCTTAAGTTGTATTGGAACTTATTTTTATTATGTTGGAATTTGACATATGTTAAACTATTTTTTTTTTTTTTTGGAGTTTGAAATTATGATATATTTATGGTTCTAATTTACTTGTTTTAATAGTATTGACTTGTTAATCATGTTGTTCATTTTTAGTTAGAATTGATAGATTAGTTTTGTCAAACATTTGAATGATGTTATGACATATATTTATAAATGTTAATTTATTTTATCAAACATGAAATCCATGATGTTCTTACAAAACGTATGTTTTTAGTTTTTATAATTAATTAAACTATATATTATTAATTTGGAAAATATATATCAATTATTTTTACAATATTAGTTATAAATATATGATTACTAATTAATTTATATTCAAGAAAAAATATGCATCTTAAATACCAATCTATTATCATTTATACTTATAAAAAATCATTTATAGGCATATATTTATTATATTAACTTTTAAGTTTTGATAATTACTTCATTTAAAATTTAATCTAACTGTGTAATTACACTTGTGCAAACAAACAGTACGCTTGTAATTACAATATAATTACGTTATGACAAACAAACAAGTCGTCGTAATTACTTTGTTGTGTAATTACTACCCTAGTAATTACACCAATTCCAATTACCAGGTGGCTTTCCAAACAGACCCTAAATAATGTAGCTTCTCTTTAGAAGTAGAAACAAAAGTTGTTTTTTACTTGTTATCATTACAAAAATACCTTTACGAAAATTTATATTACCAAACTATCCCAACCATACGGTCAAACACAAACCTCATGAATTATCGTCAACAAATCTGTGATCAAAGTCCCATAAATATGCTTTCTCTCTCTCTCTACTTTTTGATTTTATTTTTTACTTTTAATTAAAAGAAATTGAATATGTTAATTAAAACCTCTCATAAAAAAAATTCAAATCATTTATCTATTTAAATAAAACTAATTGTACAACAAATCTCTACATGTCTTTGTTTTAATTTGATACTCTAAAGCACTTTCGGAAAGATACCCAAACTACTTTTCTTAAACTCCTTTCGACAAAAGTACTTTTCAAAATAAGCAAATTTTTAAAGGATCTTCAAACAGTCATTTTCAAATAGCGATCTCTTCATCTATGTTTCCTAGGAACACAACTTCCATTATTTTTTACTAAGTCAGAACAGGAAACTGTATCCATATCTTTCTATTTTCAAGAACTTGGTGATTATATGATGATCTTGGAAGCTTGATCTCCCTCAGATTACAACCTCTCAACATTTCAGCACCCTGTAAACCNCGACTTTCTTCAAATTCCTGAAGTGAAAAGTGTTTGAGATGGTTAATGATTTGTTTTAGCAGGTCAAAAGACTCGGCGTAATGGTACACTAAATGACACAGCAAGAATAGAATATTTGCATGCCTACATTGGGAGTGTTCTTGACGCTGTAAGGTAAATCTCTTATAACAAAGTTATTGACTGTAATGCAGGCAGAGAGAGAGAGCTCTGAATCGTATCTTTGATGTTATCTTTGGAAGAGATGAAAGGTCAAGCTTATTTGCCTCTTGTAAATTTGGCAAAACACTTTCCAAAAACTGAACAAATCAGAAAGTTATACATTCTTGCAAGTTAAAATGTTGAGACAACTATCTTAATCATGTTGGGTAGGATTTAAATTACATACATTGGCCTTGTAAAGATATTTTACGCGATCAGTGTAGTGTTGTCATTTTTATTAGTTTACAAATTAAGGCTCGTCATAAGAACTTACCTGTACCTTATAAGTGACCTGATTTGTGTAAATACTTTTTACACCATCAATGCATAGACTTAAAATCTTTATTTTATTTGTTTGCACTGTGGCAACAGGCAGGCGCCTTAATTGCTAATTCAGCAAGTTAATTGGTTAAGAGCATAACTTTTTCCTTTTCTTAATCATTTTTCAAGTTGATGTAGACTAAGCCTTTCTCATGTGCACTTGGCTAAAAAGCTTTTCTTTTGTTCACTCTACCTATATAATGCAGGAATGGATCGGATACAAGAGGGTATTTCGCCTGGTCCTTCTTAGATGGTTTGGAGTTACTTGGTGGCTATGGACCGAGCTATGGCCTCTACTATGTAGATTTGGATGACAAAGAATTAACAAGGTATCCAAAACTTTCCGCATACTGGTACGCCAACTTCTTAAAGGGAAAAAGCTCCATTACCAGTGCAGCTTCCAAGTAGGGGAAGCTTCCTATCTACAAATCCTAGTTTTGTTACTAAATATAATTGGTTCTTCTGTAATACGGTTTTATCTGCACAAGATGCTAGATATTTGTCAACCCTTCTCAAATAATATGATTATACCTGCACAAAATTCTCCATTCTGTATCTGTGAGTGATAAATGTGGAAAGAAAATCAATACTCCTTTTCATGAAACCCCACAGATTGTCAACTTCTGTCTTGATCATTTCATAGGCACAAGGAGCATATCTGTCTCAGGCTTAGCACTTAAGCTACTCTAGTAGTCTTGAGCCTTAAAGATCAATTATAAATCACAAGTGTCTCAGGCTTTAACCTTTGGCCACTTGACATCTTCACAATATGCATTGGGCACCAAAACAATCCTGCAGGATATTGGAGGACAAATTATTTTCAGGAGTTCTCCTAAGGATAAAAATGGGGGGAAGGGTGGGCGGACTTGGGGCTGGGAGCCTTCCCTCGATACAATTTTACTCTACCCACCCAGAAAATACATATCTGCACTCAGTGTTTGCATCAATTTTAATGCATATTAATTATGGTTAAGTTTTAAAGGTTAATGTGCAAACACATGATATACATATATTGTTCTGGTCAAAACACCAGCTGCTGATAATCTTCTTTTTTTAAAAGCCACCTTAGATATTATGATTTGGTAGGAAACGAGTCACGGACCATATCTTGGGAAGAACATATTGAGGTGACGAACAACCTCTTTCTATCTCTTAGAACTCTATGTCGAAGTTCATTAAAGCAATTTTTAGAAGAAAAAAAATTGTAAAATAAAACTTGCTTGGATGATATTAATTTTTTCAGAAGTTTTACAAATATTCCCCCCCCCCCCCCCCCCCCCAAAAAAAAAAAAGTCTTGGAAAGAGTTCTAAGCTTTACGAAAAACCACCTTGTATTAGACACGCTATTACTAAAGAATTTTCAAATGGCCTTTCATATTCTCAAAAAAAAAAAAATGGTAAGGAAATATCTAACGTAGGTAGGAACTTTACAAATTAGCAAGTGTATTCATTCACCTAAAAAGATATTGAAGGGGCAGTGCTTAGCTTGCTTTTCTTTTGGCTAAAGTTTTGGTCATATTGTTAATTTAATGTGTGCTTAACTCATTTGGTCGGTGAAGGAGACTTTTTCTTGCAATTTGCAGTTACTGTGGATTGAATTAAAAAACAATTGCGCGGCGTGGCCTCGCATGGGGCTGGTTTTAGTGGGAATATCTCTAAATTGGTGGTATTTAAAAAATAGCTACGCATCCTCTCTGTTGTGTAGCTTCAACTAAGATCTACCAATGGTAAGATTCTTTACTAAATGCTATATAGTAATATAATATTTATTGCTAAAGTTCTATCATTTTGTCATACTGTTATGTATCAAATTATAATTTTGAAAAATAATTTGTTGAATAACACAAATAAATTATACCAATCACGTAGATTTTGATGAATAATTTAACAGATAGGCCGCTTGCAGATAACACAAAGTCGTACTAATCTGGTACAAGTAGACTTTGATGAATAATTTAAAAGATTGCTGCTGCATTTTCTTCTCCAATTTGCATCTCGTTCACTACATTACCGAAAGTTTTCACATATTCCGCTAAAATCAGCCTTTATGGGGGTTATTCCTGTCAATCTCCCTTGAATTAGTCAATGGCTTTTCGAGGTATCTTCCTCTTGTTTATCACCAAAAAAGGACATAAATTTGGAAAGAGAAATAATAAAATAAAAAAAGGAAAAAAAAAGCAAAAAAAAAAAAAAAAAAAAAAAAAAAAGAGAGAAGAAGAAGAAGATGAAACCAAATCAAACCCGAATCCTCAAGTGCAAACTTATTAAAAGATGGACAGAAACTGAAACTACAGAGTCAAATAAACTACTACTATAGTTTAACTTTTGACAAGAGTAATGACACAATTTAGGATAGTGTATTAGGTAAAGTTGTGGGTTCGAGTCTCATTTTCACCGATTAATAAAATATTATTATTTACACAATTTAACACCTACTATAAATAAGGGAAAAAAAGAGTTTGGAATATGTACTACCACATCAAGTAAAACTCATGAGTTTGAATTTTACTGTTACTCAGAAATAAAATATCATCGTTCAGACAATTCGATAAAGCTTATGCGTGACATTGGGACGTTAAAAAACTCATGAATCGGAGCTTACTAGTCATGTCTAATTGATTGTATAAATTGAAGAAGATGTGATTAAAAAGACTATTTTGGAAAAACAGAATTGGGATGCACTAAGTTTGGTAGACTTCCCACAAACAATGGTCTATTTAGTATGTAGTAGAATATAATGGTGTAGTGCAGGCCATTAACTATAGACCATGATGAAAATGTAGAAAGTGACAAAAAGAGCAATTTTCACCACTACAATATTGTAAAGTGTTGCCTTTCAACCACCCATATCAGGATCTCACCTGCCTTTCACCTTTCTTCTGCTCATGATATCTATAATTCGTATTCAAACTTTTGAACGTCTTTCACGACGGAAGAAATGTGTAGAAATTTATAACCAACTGTTGTGCCAATAAATTATTGAGTTTTCTCTTTCTGAAAAGAATCATTGCCTCATTATGGATCAAATAATGGTGTTTGCTCTTTATTATACTTCATATAATCAGATCGTACTGATCTCGGATCCAATAACCTCGTCTCACTTAGTATAAGCTGCTCAGGCAATAAGCCACCTCAGACATGACAAAAAGTCTCATATGACGCCACAATGATCTAATAAGCCACAGACTCAATTGCGATACATAAGAAAAATGAACCGTGGAAAGGATTACTCAACCCACGTGACTAATTAGACAACTGAAAAGGTGTCATGAACCTTCCTCAGAAAACGGGACACAAAACACACAAAATAGAATATAGGTGACTCCACAAAGCTTTTATCCCTTAAGCTTTTAAGACCATCAATTTCAAAAATCTTTTTTTTTTCTTTTTTCTTAAACTCCGTGTCGAATCAAACTATGATTGAAATTGGAAGAGTAGAAAGGTTAAAAGGCAGGCGAGATCCTGATATGGGTGGTTGAAAATAACACTTTTTCACTTTCTACATTTTCATCATGGTCTATATAGTTAATGGCCTACACTACACCATTATATTCTACGTACTAAACAGACCATTGTTTGTGGGAAGTCTACCAAACTTAGTGCATCCCAATTCTGTTTTTCCAAAATAGTCTTTTTAATCACATTTTCTTCAATTTATACAATCAATTAGACATGATTAATAAGCTCTGTCACACCCCTTTTATGCCCCCAAAGATAATGTGTGCGTTATTGTGGATGGTGGGTTAAAGAGTTTCTCCAATTAAAGTGACAAACTTGAATAGAGATTATTTTATTTACAGAGTCGCCACTTGGAATTAATATTTTTTTTTTGGGTGTTCCAAGTCACCTTTTGTTTGAATCCCTAGTCAAAGGAAGATTTGACTCTTTTATTATTGGTCTGCAAAACAAAGTCCGGGTTAGAAATTCTGTTGACCGGGAAGAAGGTGTAAGGCATTCCCCGAGTCCCGTGGTTCTAGCACGGTCGCTTTATTGACTAAAATTGGCTTGAATTAATTTTGGACAAACTGTGATTTATTGGTTTTCATGTTTTATCTATGTCCGCTTTTATTATTAAAATATAAAATTATCTTTGAAACAAATCGTGTGTGTGAATTTATTTTATTTATTGTGCCAAAATCATATCACGAGTACGTGTACACAACTAATAACACTTTATTAATTATTAAGATTGTTTTGTCAAAATTGCGTGAATGCATACCTTAATTTATTTTGAGAATCATAATCATGTCACGCGAACGTGTACATAATCATGACAATAAATTATGAGCACGCCTAAAGCAACTATGCATGTTGAGTTATTCCCAAATTAAAAAATTTAAGCATTAAAAGTCTATCACTTTTCAATTCTACAGTCACTAATGTTCATTCAAAAAACCAATTCTAACTTTATTTTAAATCAAGCATAAAAATAATTCTTAAAGAGAGAAGTCTTTTGGCCCAAGAATCTAAAATCGCCTTTTTCTAAATATCTCTTCTTTTGTCATCAAAATTTTCTATCTTCCTTTCAAGTTATTAAACAAACAGAAGCAATTCGATTATTCGAATATCCCATGTCCAACTCCAAATAAATAACTGTGAGCTCATTTAGTAACTTAACTTATTTTATGAGACAAATCGTATTCAACAATCAGTAATCTTTAAGGCATGCTAACACACATTAATATATGGCAACNAATACAGTCACTAATGTTCATTCAAAAAATCCAATTCTAACTTTATTTTAAATCAAGCATAAAAACAATTCTTAAAGAGAGAAGTCTTTTGGCCCAAGAATCTAAAATCGCCTTTTTCTAAATATCACTTCTTTTGTCATCAAAATTTTCTATCTTCCTTTCAAGTTATTAAACAAACAGAAGCAATTCGATTATTCGAATATCCCATGTCCAACTCCAAATAAATAACTGTGAGCTCATTTAGTAACTTAACTTATTTTATGAGACAAATCGTATTCAACAATCAGTAATCTTTAAGGCATGCTAACACACATTAATATATGGCAACATTCAAGGATTTTCAAACAGAACAAGAAAACACTTTTATAAAATATTTATCCACTAATAGAATAGTATAAAAATAAAAGTAATTAAGGAACTGGATCTTTTGTGAAGCCAAAATTGATTTTCCAATTGATTAATAACGAAAACTCCTTCAACAAAGTTGTACCACAGATACAAATGTCGGACAAGAGCTTCGAGCTAATGAATCCAATCGACCGGACAAGGCGGCGACCAAAATGAGCAACAAATAAGCTCAACCAACAGGAACCTTCAGCCGAAGAATTCCCACGTCGACCTCGATGGACTCGATCCCTTCACTGACCCGTAGAGAGACTGTTGTGAGGGCGGACACGTTGAGATTTCATGATATTTTGGACTGGTTTCGGAACTGGGGTTTTATGGCTGCATTTTCAGCTGTTTTTGGGCTGGAAAACAGAGTTGCTTCTTGCTGGGTTTTAGAGCTAATTTTGGGACTTTTTTTTTTTGGTACTAAGTGCTTTTGGGTATGTGTATTTTCAGAGATGTGAATCTGT